CCGACCGCCCTGTCCTGTCCCTCCCAACCTCTGCCACCCCACCCCCATCGCCCTGCCCGGCGCCTCCGCAGCCGTCCCCTCGCGGTCCCCTCGAAGAACCCTCTCTGCTGTGCCTGGGTGTCACCACCTTCACCCTCCCACCGCTCAGGGCCCCTGCCCAGCCTCCCACTTGGCCTGGACCTTGCACTCTGTGCAGCCTGCGGGGGCCCTTCGGGGAATCTGAATCTGGCCAGCGGTCAGTCCTCCCAGGCTGCTCCCCCACACCCCTCCGTGGGCAGATCCCCTTGACCAGGCCCCTCTCCTGTGGGCCTCAGGGTGGCGCTTCTCCTTCAGCAGACACTAGAGTTGGCCGGGAGCTTCCTGGTGTCCTCTTGTCCTGTTCCCTGTGCCACTCACAAGTCTTGTCCCAGCTCCCTGTAGTGAGGACTCCCCAGCTACCAGCTGCCCTCCCTCAGTGCTGACCACCCACCCACCAGCCCCAATCCTGTGAGCTCCCTGTGTCCTGCCACCCACGAGACCAAGTGCAAACTCCTGGCTGTCCAGAAGTGGCTCTAACGGCCCTGACCTCAGCCTGGTTCCTGGAGCTCCTGTCCACCTCGTTACCACCTTGCCCGTGGCCATGACACCCCTCGGCTCCCTCCTTCGCTGACCCAGCTCCCGCTGAGGAGCAGCCCTTGCTCCCCAGCCAGGGTGGGCCCTCTGGATGCCCGGTGCCCCAGGCACAGGATTGGGGCTGACCATCGGCCATCCAGGTAGCACCTAGCCCCAGGACAGGTGTGGGCAGGCCAGGACGGACAAGACTTGTCCCTAAGCATGTAGGCCGGAGATGGCGAGCACACGCAGGGGCTGGAGTGGATTGGGTGGGGGAACATTGGTCCCTCCTGCTGAGACATCGGGAGATGCCAGCCTCCAAGGACATCCCAGGCCAGCCAAGGGCAGGTGGTGCCAACCAAGAACCAAGAGCAACCTCTGGTTCAGTGATGCACCATGGACCAAGGCGGGCTGCAGGGCTGGGGTGCGGCTCGGCGAAGGGCTGCCTGTACCGTGAGGGTCCCACCAGACTGTGACAGGGCTGGAGATCCTATGTCTGGTGATGCCACAGCACATGACACCCTCGCAGCCGTGACAGCACATGGCTCACTCTAGCATGTTTGTGGTGACGCTGGTGCCAGCAAGGGTCTGAGTGCCCATCGTAGAGAAGGCACCACATGGCACTTGACAGTGGACGACTTGCTGCTTGGCCTGGTTACTAGACCTTGATCCTTACTTCAACGTGTGTTCTCCTTGTTAAAAAGAAAAAAAGAAGAAAGTTAACCTTGAAATTGCTATGTGACACGGGGGCAGCGGTCTTCGTCTCTGTCTCCCGGTCCCTGTGTCTCTTTGTCTCTAGATGATGTGACAGATGGGAGGTGCTTGGGTCGAACCATCAAGGTTTAAGGGAGGGCTCTGGGATGTCCACAGTGACATACAGCCCCTGCATGGGATCGCCAAATGAGGCCACATTTCTCAGAGTGGACCCAGCTGTCCAGAGGGGGACTAGCCAGGCGGGGGCGCGGTGGCACACACCTGTCATCCCAGCGGCTCAGGAGGATCACGAGTTGAAAGCCAGCCTCAGCAACATGGAGGCCCTAAGCAACTCAGTGAGACCCCGTCTCTAAATAAAATACAAACTAGGGCTGGGGACGGGGCTCTGTGGTGAGTGTCCCTGAGTTCAACCCCCAATGCCAAAAAAAAAAAAAGAGAAGCTGACTGTGTGACCCTCAGGCCAGGCCAGCACCTGCCTGGCCAGCGTCTGCCCAGCCCAGCCCTGCGCCTTGGCCCTGCACCTCGGCCCTTGCTGCCTCGTAAGCGCCTCTGCCCCCCCGCCCCGAGCGAGCCTTCTGGGCTCCTGCCTGAGTCCCACCCCTGGGCTTCCTTGGTTCCTGGACCCTCTGCGCCAGCTCCAAGGCTGGCCCGGTGCCAGCATCCCCTCTCTCTGGAAGGGTGTCCCTCTCCTCTGCCTTTGGGGCACCTCACCCGTCCCCCGGCAGAGGGGTCTGCCCTGACCACCTGTGAGGTCACTGAGTCTCACAGAACCACGAGACCCGAGTCCCCTGCTGTCCCAGGCGCCCTCCACCCTGCCGTCGGCCCGACACATCTACCTCCCGCGGCTGGGGACTGTTCAGACAGCCAACTGCATCCTCCTGTGGCCCAGAGGCTGGGCCCCCGGCTCAGGGGTTGAGTGC